CCGCCCCCGTGCCCCCCCTCCACGGGGACAGATGAGGAGTCCTGCTTGGGAAGGGGGGCTGGAAAACCCCTGACACCCACCCCAGCCCGGCTCGGGGTTTGGGGGGCACGGCGGCGAGCGGCTCCCCGCTTTACCCCACAGATTCCGGGGGCCCTCTCCAGTCCCTCCCCCTCTTCCCGGGAACGGGGCTCCCCCCCCGCTGCCGAGGGGGATTTCGAGGTGCCCGTTTGTGCTGGAGCCTGCTTATGGACCAGGGGGGAGTAAAAGAGAAGATAAAGTCCTTTTTTAAATTCTTTTTTTTTTTTTTTTTTTTAAATTCTTTTTTTTTTTTTTTCCGTCAGGAAGCTCCATCTTTAGGCAAGTCTAAAGATGCTAAAACAGCACGAGAAGTCGAAGGTGGGTAAAACAAATCAATAAAAATTAAACACCCCTCCCCTGCTTTAAAGCAGAAGGCGGCAAAGGAGCAGGAATTAGCGAGGAAAGGCTGCAGTTTGCCGTCAAAACAGTGATTTTGTCTAGACAGGGGGAGGGAAGGTGAGGGTTTTTTTTTTTCCCCCTTTGCTAACACAATGGCCCTTTGGTTAAAAATTAATTTACAGCACCCTCGCTCTCAAGCCAGACTAACGTTCAACGAGCAGTCCCTAGGATTAAAATATGTATATATAAATAAAACTTAAATAAAATCAAATCAGCCAGAGGTGGGGAAGGTTTGCTCGGCTGTAACAAGTGGTGGAAGGATGTGAAGGAGAAGGGCTGTCGGTATTTATTTATTTCCCTGGCATTTTTTAAGGGGGAGGGGAAACATTTGCTTAAAAAAAAAGACAAGACGGAAAGGCTGGGAAGGGCTCGGACAGGTAAGTGGGTGCTGGATCCGGCCTCGCCGGGAGACTGGGGAGGGAGGCGGTTTTCGTAACGTCTTGGTCTTTTATAATATTCCCACATGTCGCTTCCCGAGAATACTTCATCCTCCTCATCAGCCCCAGACGTCTGGCCAGGAAACTGCCAGCCAGCTCTCCGGACGGGCGAGCAGGCTTGCTGATCTTCCCTTTTCTTTACTTTTTAATGATAATTTCATGCTCCGTCTTCTAAAAAAAAAAAAAAAAAAAAAACCACCACCCTCAAGCGCTCCTTTAAAACCGAGATGGAGGCAAAGCCGCGTCGCTCGTATCCCCCTCCTCCACCCGCCTTTTTCTCTACTGGGAGTTTTGACTGATTTTTGGTTTTGGGTGGGTTTTTTTTAAGCCATTGATCCGACTCTTCATCATCAGCATCGCTTATTTATTTACCTCTTTGCCTAAAACCACTAACCTGCGCCGTGGACCCGGGGATTAGAAGCGGCCGCGTCGCAGCTCCAGCCCCACCGCAGAGAAACCCGCTTGGCTCAAAGGCTGGGAAAGCCTGGAATAAATCCACCGCCTTCCAGCCTCTCCCAGCGCATACCTACTTTAATTATTATAATAATAATAATAATAGAAATCCAACCCACGCTTTCTACTTACGTGGCTCTACCATTTGCACGATTTTCCTTTCTCCCTCGGCTTTTTTTTTTTCTTTTCTTCCCCTTTTTCCCTCTCTGCGGACTCTCCGAGCCCACCGCTGGGATGGGAAGGAAGGCTGCTCGCTAGACTTGAAACTAAAAGGTCATTTCGCCAGGATTGCCAAGTCCACTTGCTGAGGGGACCCAGCCTTCTCCTGTCGCCATGTGTTCCTCTCCGTCCGCCTAAACTTGCGTCTCCGTCCGCAGCGGCGCAGAGCTAGGAACGCAGTTGTGCCATAATGAGGTACCTTTAAATTTAATTTCCTGTCCCTCCCCTGCTTTATGGATTTCTAATAACAATGTTGAAAACCAGAGAAGAAACCTATAAAAGTCTCCGGGACAGGGGGCTTATGTAAATAATTGAAGGTAGCCAGGCTTAATTGAATTTCCCAACAAATGGATGGAATAGAAACAAATGGAGTATTTTGTTTGAGGGAGCTCCTGATGCTGGATAGACTTCTGTTGCTCATTTCTACTGATTTTTTATCATTATTGTTCTTTTTTTTTTTTTTTTTTCCTCAACGGAGAACTCTTGCAAAGATTTAAGTGTAATTCAATACACCCCGAAATACAGCAACGGAAAGAGTTCCTAAAGAGAAACAAAAACTCTCCTGAAAAATCATTACAACGAAGATTTTAGAAACGTTTTACTGGAGTATGCGGGGCAAAATAAATTCTCGCTCGAATTCTTGGATCTGTAACGGTTTTGGCAAGGGGAGAGGTTTAATTCTGGAAAGTTAAAGGCGCTCGACCGATCGGTTTCTTGTCTGGCCGTAGGCTTGGCTTGTCCAAAAGATTTTGCTCACTTATTTTATTTAAAGCCAAAGTAACGTTTGTGACTCTTTCGTACCTACAAAAATCACCTTTTTAAGGCTTAACTCCCCAACCCCTCCGCCCAGAGCCTCGATTGCTAATTTAAGGAAGCCTCCTTGGACTAACTCAGAGACTTTGCCTCCATGTCTGGAGACTAATTAATTTTTTTTCCAAGCGAAGCAGCTCTTCCTTATGCTCCGGTTTTGGGGGGTCCCGGACCCCGCGGTCGGGCCGGGCTGGGGCTGAGAACACCAAAGGCACCTCCGGCGTCCCCGGACACCCCAAATTAAATTCGGCTGCGGGGGGAGGAGGGGGGGGGAAGGTTCTTACGTGCTTGCTCGCTGCCGAGATGTCTTTTCTTTTTGCTTCTCCGCACCTTCCAGGGTTCCGTTTCGCCCTGCGAAGGAACAGGGAGTTATTACAAAGCGGGTGTGCGGGAGTTCCCGCCACTTTCTCCTTACTATTAATTGGAGTTTTCCTTTTAATTGGAGTTTTTCCACTACTTGGAGCACCGAAGGGAACGTGGTGGGTTGGTTTTGTGGCTGTTGTTTTGGGTTTTTTGTTTGATTTGTTTGCTTTTGGGTTTTTTTTGGCCGGGATTTTGCTTTTAACCTCGGGGCTTTGCAGAGTTTGCTTCCCCTCGGTTCCTCGGGAGGTGGGTGCGGGGGGGAGGGGTGCGGGGGGGACACGCGTGGCTCATTCCTTGGGTTTCCCTGCCCGGCACTAATGACTCTGTGTAATTGAGGGTTCAGTCCATAAAATCAGGGGCTCCGGCTCTCCTTGAACGCGGGAAAAGCGTTATTTCGAGGGAAGGGACGGAAAACCCGAAGGTGGAAAAACAAATCCCGCAGCCCAGCCCCGACGGGGAGCGCCGGAGGCCAGGCCGAGGTCTCCCGTTTCATCCCACTCGTGGGGTTTTCTCCCTTATCCCAGAGGAAAACACTTTTTTCCCCTCAGCAACAAGTACCGGGGGCGACGCTGCCCCCGGGGTTTTTCCCGCGGAGCCCGGCGAGGGGAACCACAGACGGAGCCGCCCCCGGCCGGGCTTGGCCGTGGTTTTGGGACGGTCTCCCCCCTCCCCGCCCGCGGCTCCTCCTGCCCCTCCACA